CTGAGCAGAAAAGGCCTGGTGTCAGAATCTTGTAGAAAAATCATCTTTAGTTAGGTGGGGAAAACCTCTTATTCCCCGAAACCTTACTTACAAAAACACAGAAGTGAACTGAAACCTGGTTCGGAGGACTAATGACAGCTCTGGAGGTTCTCTTCCTAGCCCCTGCTATGTGAAACTATCAGAAATTTTAGGAAATCATTGCTAAGCTTTGATCTGGGCCCAAAGACCAGTATAAATGCACACCAGTCCTGGTGGTTGTTTTTCACCTACAAGCCAGCATAGATGAAAACAAGTTACCGTGGTATAGAAGAATGCACTAAACTGTATGAAGCTATGACTTTCAGATCTGTGCCATGATGCTTTTAGACAGACTTCACAAGATGCTTCACAGGATCTTCTCTAGCCTGTAGTTACAATCTTAAACCGCTGTCCTTTTCTCCAGTCAACATTTGATTTAGGTAATTGACTATTTCCAGGCTGTAGAAGTGGGAAAAGATAAAAAATTACTTTGTTTTCTGACAATATCCATGGAGTACCACAGTAATTAAATCAGAACATGTTTGGCCTCCAAAACTTACAGTTTACCATTTAAAACTTACAGTTTAGTGCAGCTAAAATACTATTGTATCCCAGATCCTTAGGAGTCCTTAGAAACTGCTTGAAAATGGAGGTGTGCTGTGTTACACATTAACAGCAGCAACAAAACCCAAAGCAAATAATACTCTGGTGTAAACCAGAAAAACCCTTGGTATGCATTTTAGCTTGCAGTAGGTTTGACTTAGGTATGAATATGCAGTCTATGAGGTGCATAGTGTGTACTACACTGAGCCCTGTATCTGAACTGAGATTTACTTGTTCAGGCTGGGAGGAGATGCTATCCTTTTAAAAGGGAAGTGGCACATACCCTATAGCTGAAGCTAGGGGAATGTGAATGTTCAGTGTATTTGCCTAACTACAGCAAAATAAAAATCCGAGCAAAAATCTTGAAGCCCAAACAAACCTATTCTAAGGAAAATCTTTCCTGAGTAGACCAGCTCTTAATTATTTAAAACATTGCATTGGTCAATTAAAGGAAATTGAGGAAAATCTGTGTTCAAATTTTCTTTCATATTAGTAAAGTGAACTAACTGGTATCATTGCAAATTCTGAGATCCAGTGGAGGTACTGTATATGATTTTATGAAACTGTTTAGCATGTGTGGGTGCTTTCCTGAGTTACCTTTTTCTTTCCCGAGGACCCAGTTTCATAGAACGGTAAATCTGTGGGCACGTTGGCAATTGCTGTGCTTGACAAAGACTAAAAATCTATGTCTGTCTGCAGTTACTCTTGTCACCTGACAGAACCTTTCTGTTCTGATAAAAAGGGAGGGAACAATGTGCTTATCCCAAATACGTGGTCCAAAGCGTGTTCTGTCATACTGCCAGGAAAGGTTATAACATATTAAATCGAGATTTGACAGCTCTTGCCAGCTTGTTGCCTTGGAAGCTGAGAATTGTTTGTTAAAGGAATTCATACATCTAAGAGTCTGGAAGTAAGTGTGGAAGATGAGGTGGAATAACCTCTGTAATATGTCTATGTCTTGACCTTTGTAGAAAGTCTCCTCTAGCTAGCAGTTGGCTGTTAACTGCTCACAAGGGCCATAGGAGCAACAGAAACTCAGATCCTGGTATTCAAACTGCTGCTTCTTTAAGCCCCAGCCTGTTACAGTTGTAAGCAGTTCTTTGCAGCAGTTGTGTTCCAGTCCTCTTGATTTTTAGTTTTTATTTCTGGCCGAGGCTGGTGGTAATCGCTCCTCAGCTTGTGATCTCAGTAGGTCATCTTGGCCAGCAAACCGCTTCTGTGTTTCTCTTCACTAGTTACCTTTTTCAAGCGAAATTCCCACTTAGCAAAAACAACCTACCTTTTTGTAAGTGTCCCAAGGACAGCCAGTAATGAAATCCTGGTTGTATAGATGGAGCACACGGCTTATGAGGTTCCTATCTCCGGATTCTTTGGTGTCTAAAGCCCAGAGATACTCAAAAAAAGAGAGTTCTTTATCAGCCTGTAATTGTTTTCTGAAGATCTGAACTTCCCCCAGTTAGAATTTAATGAGTAGAAAAAGCTGTTCGAATTGGTCTTAGACATGGTATGACAGCATGCTGTCTGTGCTAGCAACATGATGGGCATGATGACCTGTAAGCAGAAATACAGAACTATTTGTAGATTCCCTTAGCAGATGATCATTTATGACTCAAAGGAGGATGTAATTGAAACAGGATTTTTGCGATTTGGTTTTCTCTCCCTTGGCTTACTCATGATCATGGAAAATCTGATTGCTTCTATTCTCATAGAGTGGCAGAGCTCAAATGCTGTATTGCGGTCACTCCTAGTGCAATGGTCTGATGTCTATGGTTGCACATTGCCCTTAGTTCCATTTTTACTGAGAACTCTCAGGAAGTTTGAGCAGGATTTAGTTATCCCAATAATGACAGTACTGGCCTGGCTGAGATATTTTTAGGCTTTTCTTCTGAAATCTTTCTGTGCAGCACCTGACACGCTTGCCTTAACATGAAAATACAGTGCCTTAGAATGTCAACCACATCCTGCACTTGTATCTGTGCAGTGTCCCATCTCCTTGTGTGGGTTCTAGTTGCATGATTTCCTTACAAAAATGTTCAGTTCAAAACTTGCTCATCTACAACAGAAAATTACCCGAAGACACTTGTTAGCAGTGGATGAAAACTTTAGCTTAAGTATGTGCACATCAGCTGCATTTAAAAACTGTCTCTGAAATTCTGAGCATCTTCTAAAATACTGGGCTGTTAAAGGCCTTTTCTCAGAGATGTGCCTATTGGCAGTTTCAGCTCATTGCTTCCCAGTATCTTCCCAATATTTATATTGTCATGTAACAATAGGTAATTATTTTTTTAAAGTTAAGCAGGGATAACCCCCCCTTCCTGTTCCCCACTTCCCAAACACTATTAAGTATTTTATTACAAGACTTACTGTATTGCTGTTTGAATTAATTTGCAAGTGCTCTGTTTTGCTGTTCCCAATTGTGAGACTGTTGGCCAGGAAGGAAAAGATGACAGGCACTTAGTATACAGATAGTGCTGAGTTCTGGGACCAGTGCCAAACTGTGTAAGCTCCTCAATGAAAGGTAGGGTAATAGTCTTTAAGGCAGACCTGTTTCTGAAATAATGTCAAGAGAGCCTGTTAAAAATGTTAGTTTCCCTCTTCAGAGGGGCCAAGGAGCGTTCACTTACAGGAGGCAGCACCAGGACCTGTTGCTGCTGTATGCTGTTCTATGGCTTGTTTCTGAAGCTTCTCCCTGTGGGCATAGCCTTTGTGTGCATGGTAACTAACCCATGAGTAATTGAATAGCTGGAGAGTGCTACTTCTCTCTCAGGAGTTGTGTTTTCTGTCAGTTCTAAAATCCTTGTCAGGTATCATGTGTGTTTTAACATGAAGTTTTCATTGCCAAAGGTGGCAAATGTCTCTGACTGTCCTTTTGCCTTATATCTGTTAAACTGAATTATTAGACTTAGTAGTGGCAGCCCTTGACCTGAGTAAGATAAATGCAGATATATTGTACTTTAACAAAATAAGTGGATAACCAAAGAAGTGATATTCAGCGTTCTTACAATGAAAAAGCAAGCACTTAGACGTTTGTCTTTTAAGTATGTAATTCATGATACCATAAATTAAAGCCTTTATCTACATTTATGACTGGCAGCATTTAAATTTCTTCAGAAAACTTGTCTGAATGCTTATTTTTCAAGTCAAATCTATTCTGTTGCCTAACTGTTGCATTAAATAATGTTTGAAATTTTGCACCATTCAGAGTTATGGTTAAGTGGTGATCTGTTTATTTTTAATATCAGTAATTTGTATTACATTTGTGGCCATAATATTAATCAATTATTTTGAGTGACCACTGTGTAATTTTCAGTTTTTCTTCATTGCGCAATAATCTCATCCATACAATTTGTGGCATCTTCTGTCTGTAATATTGATGTGAGATGTTAAGCATTTTTAGTTCTCAATAGGTTGCCATTAAAAAGAGTTAATTGCATTAAGTCTTAAGTAAGGAAACTGCAGAGTATCTTGCTTTCTGCAGTGCATGTTGGGCTACGCGAACTTTTCAGATCAGGATTTATTATTACTCATTTGGTATGGTAGAGGGTTTTTGTTTTGTTTTGTTTTAACTCAGAACACTTCACAGCCATCTAATTAGGTAGTTTGTGCAGCAGAGAGTTGTTGCAATTAATCATAGGGGAGTAAAGATTGTTCATTATAAATTGTTTTTATGTAGGTCTTTAGAACAGATTTTTTTAAATGTATATATTATAGTTGAAAAGGACTTACCACACCCACTATGCAGTATTTGAAGCCATTTGTAGACCTAAATCCTCTTTTTCCTTGACTTTGTTTCTCAGACCACCAATTCTCCCTAGTCCTTCTCCTTCAAAATCCATTCCAATCCCACAGCCCCTCCGACCAGCAGATGAAGACCATCGGAATCAATTTGGGCAACGCGACCGATCCTCTTCAGCTCCCAATGTTCACATCAATACAATCGAGCCAGTCAATATCGATGTAAGTATTGGTAGCGGTTGGATCAGGAATAGTAGATTTGATGTTTCCCTTATGAATATTAGTGTGTTAAATTTACCATGTGTACACTAAGCTAATCCTTAGTGGTCTGTCAGAATCTTCATAGATCCCACGTAAGATATTTTTGCCATTGAGAGCTGTAAGAACCCAAATAACTCATCCTCCAGAAGCAGAAACTGTCTTTTGACAGTCCTGTCCTTTCATTCAAAGAAACATTCTGTCACAAACTGCTGCTGGGTTGTTGTTTGGTTTTTGGGTTTTTTTGTAATTAGTCCCAAGGCTCATACTGCTAGCTATACCCTACTGTTGGGAATATGAAAGCCAGTAACCACTCTTGCAAACCATTCTGCATATTACTTTATATGCAGGATAGGGATTTCTAGTATTTGTAATTCAGTAATATTTCTGGCATTGAAGAATATTAAACTAGTGCAGTAGGCTGAGTTCAGATTTACTGAATGTTCCTCAGGATTTCAAAAGCCCAGTATATATTGTTCTGAGCATTCTTCTGGAGTGTTCAGAAAGTGCTACAATTAACTTGGTTTTCACATTTTTGAAATTTCTGGACACTGAATCATAAATAGTAATAATGGTTGATATTAGGTATAAGACAAGCTGAGACCTTTCAAAATGTTGGTCACAACAACCTCTTTCTAATTTTGCCACCGTATACAGCTTGTATTTTAACCTTAAGTCTACTCTCTAGAAAGTAGTCATTTGTCGGGTGAGCAGACTTGAAGTCTGCCTGGGCACTGAGGCCCAAAATGTTTTGCATGTGAGCCGAGTGAAAAGTGAAATGCTAGTTGAGTGTTAAGAATGTGGCCGCGTAGACATTTGCATATGGTATATGCAGTGGTGCAGCTGAGAGGTAGGACCAGTGCTTTCAGCAGCAGTGCAGGTGTATAAGGGAATGAAATAGTTGTGTAACCAAAAAAAAAAAAAAGGAGAAAAAAGGATGATGATAAAAATGAACATAAGGAGGGAAACTGCTAGAATTTTCTCATTCTCTTTAGAAAATCTGTAATGTAGTTTGTTTGCTCTCAGTTCGTTGGATTGCAAGTGAAGGAAACCTTTTAGTCATTTCTGAGAACAGTGTGCGTCTGGCTATGCAAATGAGGTGATTTGTTACAAGAAAAAATGAAGCAGAACAAATTTGACTGATGCACCTCGGTGCAGGAAATTGGTGTCCCAGCTCCTGATATGACAGTTCAAGTAATTTGTGCCACGAACACTAACTAGAACACTTGGTTCGATATTTCTATAAAGCTGGTGTTTTGGCCAGCTGAGTGTTTAAATCAATATTTTCATGTCAGCATCTATTTTGGGTGCTGTATGTTTTGCTTTACTACTGAGAGATGCTGTTTTAAAGCAACTAATTTTGAAAAGTATAGGAGTTGTTATAAATAGTTCTTTGGAGTCGCTGCTATTAGTAAGCCATAGTGGGAAATAACTTTTATTTCATACAAAACATATGAGGTGATTATTCTCAATTTTATCAGTCTCAATTGATTCTGGAATGTAAGTGAAAAAATAATACTTAAATTAAACACAATTTTTTTATTATTATTATTTATAGGACTTGATTAGAGACCAAGGTTTACGAGGAGAGGGAGGTAAGTAGTGTTTAAACTAGCTACTGTGTTATATTTAATTACACAATCGCTCTGTCCCTTCCCTTTGTTCTACGTCCTTCAACAAAACACAGACACAAAGGAAAATATGATTAGGACAAAAAATGAATTTGCATTTGCTTGTCCATGAACTTACTATATGTCTGACAAAGGTTTGAGTCATTTGCTGGTCATTCTGGGAGTGGGGGAGACGGAAGGAGAAAAAGTTTTGAAGTGCTATCTAGTTTTTTAGCTTTAAAATTACACCGTACCATCACTTTTATGCACTCTCACACACACACTCCTTCACTCACATGGCTACACCAAGATATGCTACAACTTCCCAACTCTCTAAGGTTATTTTATGCCTGTTGTTACCTTTCCACCCATGGAAACAACAGGGGTTTTCATTGAAAACCATCAACGTGGTAGATGGACCTTCCATACAAACTGCTGCATCCTAAAGCAGCATGAAATACTCCGCTTCTTCTCCCCCTCTACCCCTGCTGAAGATGCTGCTTTGCTGTACTGCATGCCTGTGCTACTCTTGGAACCAGGTTGTTAGGACCTTACACTAAAGCCAGGTCTTTTTATGTTTCCTTCAGTAACACACAGCCCTAATTCACAGTTAAGTCAGAACTACTGCCAGAAGATTTATTTTTCTTAATGTGTTATGCACGGGCCTGTTAAGTTACTTCTGCCACTGGCTGTTAAGGTCCTGACTGAGAGGGCTTGTTTCAAGCTGTATTTATTCCTATGAATATAATAATAATACAGCAATAAAGAAATAGTAAGTGGGACTGTCATATGACAATTTTTTTCAACTCCAAATCATTAACACAATCGTCTCATACTAACTATAACTTGCTTCAGCCATAAGTAAAGTCTGTATTGCCTTCATGCACTCTATCATGATCTCTTAAGGTTTTGTACTGTGGGCTATCACTGACTTTGTTTCTCCCATCCAAATCTGGTAGCTGGTAGGACAGCACCTACATTCTGTGTTGTGTTTGATGGAGTTGTTTTTTCTTATGCCAGCAATAGAATGCTCTTTAAAAAGAAATATCCTTTATTCCTGCAAGCCTACTAATTTAAAGTTGCCAGGTTTAGCTATTTTTGTTTGTGTCGATAGGTATGGCACTCCACAGTTTTGCCCATTTTGTCCAGCATTTAAATGTTGTGCTATCATGTTGGTTTTAACTTTTGATCATAAACTGTCTGCTTGGCATCTGAGAACAATTGGCTATTCCCAGTCCTATAACAGTGTTATTAGTAATTGACTTTTTTTTCCTCCCTTCAAAGTACAGAAGCAATCTATGAATAGGAGTCAAAGCATCCTAGTTATTTCCCATGACTTCTTTCATTTCTTCTATGTGTCTGTCTTTCTGTCTCTGCCTGCCCGTCTCTTTCTCTCTAACAGCCCCTTTGAACCAGCTGATGCGCTGTCTTCGGAAATACCAATCCCGGACTCCCAGTCCCCTCCTTCATTCTGTCCCCAGTGAAATAGTGTTTGATTTTGAGCCTGGCCCAGTGTTCAGAGGTAGTTGGGCTCTTCTTTCTTGTTTTCACCCAAACAAAATAAGTAAAACCACAGATGCTGTTTGTGCCTCACCCTCACACCGTGTGTATGTAAGTGTGTGAGTTTATCAAAACACCTCTGTTTTTTGCTTGGCCTGGCTGGAATGCTTTGAATGTGCTTTTCACACATACCCACTTTCACCTTTACACGCTTGAAAATGACTGTAAATGAAGTCTGACTTAAATCTTCAAAAGCAAGGAATTTCATAGTTGAGGTTTTTATGCGGGCCTCAGCATAACTTTTCTAAACAGAGGTCCTTAGATTGCAGTGATTTTAAAGACAAAGTGACGTCCTTAACTTAGAATTTCCTTGACTGTTCAGTTTAAGTCAGTTCAGTGCTTTAACAGTTTTCTATATTTAATATTCTTTGTTTTGAAAAGCAATCTAGGAAATCAGATGTGAATTACAAACATTTCCATTGATATCTTGTTAGGTCTCAAGCTTTTCAAGTAATGTGCATGTCAGCTTTCAACAAATACTTCACTTTGAGAATGTGCTGTTGATGCCACATTGGGGCCCTAGATGGTTTAGACCATGCACTTTTTATTTAGTTAGTAGATTTCCAGTGAAACAGTATTTGTTTTGCATCCTGTACCATGTAAAATAAGACTCTTCCATTTTCACGTCATTGACTCTGGAGGTAATTCAGGCCTAAAGCTGTCAATGGATCTGTTGTATTGCACACAATCCCCCAAAACTCCATGGGATTGCATATGCTGGAGAAACCAACTATTGAGTAATAGCATGAACTGTAAATATTTGTGTCTATACCTATAGAAATGGGTAGTTCAGTGCATGTAGTGTCGTTTTCAAATGCTACCATCTTGGCTGTTTCAAAGACTTTTGTTTCAGAATATATCAAGAGCAGTTCACCTTATGAACTTGTAAAGTTCTTCCAGAAGTCTTTGTAAGAAGACAGGTGTTCCCAGCAAGCAAACTGGCTACAGAATGGAATGCGTTACGTACAGCTTCAGAGTCCAAGCTAATGACTTAAGTGCAACATTATCTGAAGTATTCTACTCTAATAACTTGGAAAACAGGCCATCTGGTATTATTATGAACAGATTAACTGTAATGTTCTACCATGTGCTGTAAGCATTTTTGGTGAAGGGTGGATATTGTGTTAGTGGTATTAATGGAGTAGGAGATGTTAGTTACCTCTAAAGAAAACACGTTCTAGTAGAGCTTTGCTATTGCAGAGAAAGTGTAACCCAGTAAATTCTTGGAACATTGGTCGTGATCTGGGAGCATCATGCATTTAATTCCATATATATGTGATTTCAGACAAATAATACAATAAATATGTGACAGTATAGTAACCGTAACATGAATAGGAACAGAATTCCATCCTTCAGGTGACTGGCTTCCAGCTCCTTGTAAATGTAGTTAGGATGCCCACTATGTATCATTATTGTTGCTTCAGCATATGGGACAAAGTTTATAGATGCTGTGTCCCCTTTTTGATGTGTCAGTATGCCATTATTTCATTATTTTGTGTTTACACTTCTAAATGTATAGATTTTAGGTCTGAGGACAGGCAGTGATTGAGATATAGATAGATAGATAGATATAGTCTGATAAATTAGCACACACTGAGTGACTGAACTCGAGCAACAGTCACAAAATCAGGTTTTGAACCCAAGTTGGTATTAAGAGACACTTTCTTGGTAAGAAGGGGGCTTCTGAAGGAACTTGAGGAGTACTGTCTTCTGCCACTTCCCAGAACACTGATGTGAGAGAAAGCATTGGAATGTTGGAGGTCTGGTATAATGACATACATTGTTTAGCAGAGCAGCATGAATTTAATTAACAGTTGACCCTATTTTATGTCCTTCACATTGGGAGGGTCACCATAACCTTGTTATGAATAATTAGGGTGTATTTTAAAAAGCAGTGTCTAGTTGAAGTGCTCTATTTGTAAAGAGCCACTGGGGCTCTGAAACACAGCTCTGCTCGTGACATTTTTCTGCATAGATTTGTTTAGATAACATGTAGGCTACAGATGTAGTGTTCTTTTTGTATTTAATAGAATATGCTACAAATAGCTAACTAAAGTACTTGTTCTTTTTTAATCCTTTCTATGATTTACTTTTAAATAAGAGCACTCTGCTAACAGATAGCTTTAAAACAGCCAAATGGTTTTTCAGGTGGCACTTGGAGACTCAACTAGAAAACATTTATTTTTTTTGCATTTAATCTATTTTGATTCCGAAGTACAGTATTTCAGCTATTTATTGGGTCCCTAAAAGGTTTAGCTACAAGAAATCTGAGAGGTAGCTGCTGCTAACTAAATTGCTAGTACTTTTCTTCACAAAGAAACTGGTGGAATTAAAAAATACATTTTTGAGGGGTTTTTTTTTCCTCCTCTATTTAAAGAGACATCCTTCTGATAATTCATGAACAAGAGACTGGGAACTATCTGGTAAACAGGGATGTTTGATACAGACTTTTCTTCTCCTGAAATCTAATACTTAATCACTAATCTAATATTAGGAGGATATTCCTAGTATATGTTTGTTTCCTTGTAACATTTACATTGATGTTTGGAGATACTGCATCTTAAACACAGTTCTTGTACCTAGTATCAATAAGATGGCTTCTTATAGATAAAATTATCCTGTTTCTGAAATTTAGGTTCAGCTGCAGGTTTGTCTGCAACACCTCCTGCCTCTTTGCCTGGGTCACTCACCAATGTGAAAGCGTTACAGAAATCACCAGGACCCCAGCGGGAAAGGAAATCCTCCTCATCCTCAGAAGACAGAAATAGAATGGTAAGGGAGAGATCAGCTATTGTCATTGGTAGTATATTCATAGTACAGAAATACTACACAACCGTGTTCCTCTCACTCTTCTTTGGTCAGAGCCTTCTGAATTATTTTGAAGATGAGTATGGTAATGATAAAGGGCTTTAAACTGATAAATAATGGAATATTAAAATTGTGGGACTGATATATAAATGGCTATACTCTTACTCTATTGCACCCAAATGTCTTGGTGTGCTTTGTATTATAAGGCCAGTTTGCCTTCAAATAGCAGCTTAACTTTTCCCACCATAATTCATGAACTTTAAAAGTTCTCTGGTAATTCTCAAATTTAACAACACATTAAAATGTCTGCATTTTTTTTTTAATTCATAATTTAGCATTATAATTGAGACTTTCTTTTTGAGTTTGAGTTTCTTAACATTTCCTGGTCTTAACACAGCCAGAAACCTGTGACAAATATTCCATGCCAGGTAATAATTTAGTATACCTGCATGCTGAGGTTTTGTATATGCCTGGCTTGAAAAGTTAAATGCAGTATCTGAAAAAAGAAAGTTCTTTTTAAGACTTTAGAGATATGAAATGCTTATACCAAGTCTTTAGCAAAGGAGCTATTTTCATAGACATTAATGCCCTCGCTTTCTTTCTTCCTTGTTTTTTATGCCTATCTATGAAGAAAACTCTTGGTCGACGGGATTCAAGTGATGATTGGGAGATACCAGATGGACAGATCACAGTTGGGCAAAGGATAGGATCTGGATCATTTGGAACAGTCTACAAAGGAAAGTGGCATGGTATGTGGTCGTTACGGCAAACAGTTTTCTTAGGCAAGTAACCCTGCCTGTGAAGCTGGAAGGCAGCTTCACAGAAAAGCACCTGGGGATTCTGGTGGCCACCAAGTTAAACATGATCCAGCAGTGTGCCCACACCTCAAAGAAGGCTGATGATATCGTGGGCTGCACTAGCAAAGCGTAATTAGCAAAGTACGTGGAGTGCTGGGTCCAGTTCTGGCTCCTCAGTATGAGACATGGACATACTGAGGAGGGAGTTCATTGAAGACCCATAAAGATGTCTTTTAAATTAATAAATAGTGTGGTATATAGGTAATGCTAGAACTTCAGATTGTTCAGAAACACAACACTTGCATGTTCTTCTGAATTAATTATTAATTATTAGGGGTCAAGATTAATTAATTAATAATAATTAATTATTAGGGTCGAGATGAAATACAGTTACTAGAAAGACTAGAAGTATCCATCTTGATAAATAATGATTTCAAATATGTATTTAGAAAGCTTTGACTTGTCTGGAATTTCTCAGAATAAACTAAGAACAGTGTTTATACATTTTACAGAATGTATACTTATTTTAATATGGTGGTGGTTTATTTCACAAAAACTATAGGGTATCTCATTTCTGATGCTTTATATAGCATTTTCTCAATAGAGGAATTTTTATCAATGACACTTATTAAAACTTGCTATCTTAAAGGTGATGTGGCAGTGAAAATGTTGAATGTTACGGCACCCACACCTCAACAGTTACAGGCTTTCAAAAATGAAGTAGGAGTGCTCAGGTAAGAATATTTTTAATGGCATAAAATAATGTGAAGATTTATGCTTTATTAATCACTGAATTTTAGATCTCCATTAAAACACATTGGTCTTATACCTGTGTGATAATAGTTCAGGCAGAAACTATAACTTGCCATTTAAAAATATTTCTTTGTATGTACTGCTAGTTCTTCCTTCCGCTGCGTGTGTTTGTCTATACACCCATGTTGTGAATATATGTATGTCCAAAAACTCAAGACAGGACTGGTTTTAGCTATTGTACTATCCCCAGGGTGTAGTCAAGCCTAAGTGTGAATTTTAGGCCTTCCTTTACTCTCATCTCCATGTTTTGAAGTTGAAGGATTGCATGACTAATTGTTTTGAGCTACACTGCTGCCCGTTATTCATTGTTTAATAGCTTCTGTTCAGTAACATTGACTTCTCTTTGAGTTTTGGGAGTTTTTAAATGTATTTCTCAAAGTCACTTCCTGATACCCTTTTCTCCTATCTACTACTTGTACTTTCTTAGAGGAAGTCTTTATCTTGGGTTCATTTCTTAAAAGGATCCATCAATACAATACAATAGAATGTTTATTGGGGAAGACCATCAGTATCCAAGTACAGTCTTGAGCAGTCTCAAGCATAATTCAGTTCAAGAAATAAAATAGAAAGGAGGCTTTTGCCTCTGGAAAACTGATTTGCTGAGCTAAGCACATGTGCTGGAGGAGCATCCCCAGTAAGCTACATGGTGAACAGGAGATGGTCAGCTTTTTTCCCCCAGGAAATGTTAGTTCTGAAAAAAATCTAAGTGCATAGTTTGGAAGTAGAGGCTTTCTGGGGTGTGTTGATAAAAGGGTTGTCCTTCCTGGAAGCCTCTGAGACTGGAATTCCATTTTGGGTGTCCTCCTTCTGGGAAGCTACATCTCCTAGCTGGACTGGAGTTACACAGAAGCAGACCTGCCTGCAAACTGCTGCTGTCCCATGGGCAGACCTAGTGGTAACAGCCTCTTCTGAGCAGTCCAGTGCTGGGTTGCTTGGAAAAGCAGCACTTACCCCAGAATAGCTATTCTGTGTCATTATCAGAAAGGCTAACTGCTGGAATAATTCATTAAACTGCATCTAGCAACAGGTTATCCTGTTATCTTAGTAAAGTTGAGATTGACCTAACTATTTCTGTTTGGAAATATATATTTAGACAGTGATAGATCTGCCTGACTTTTTCCTGATTACGTGATCCGTCTGATTTCCTTCTGACCTTTCCCCCCCCACCCCCATTTGAACAGGAAAACACGACATGTGAATATCCTGCTTTTCATGGGTTATTCAACAAAACCCCAGTTGGCTATAGTTACACAATGGTGTGAGGGGTCCAGCTTATATCACCATCTACACATCATTGAGACCAAATTTGAAATGATCAAACTAATTGATATTGCACGACAGACTGCACAAGGCATGGAGTAAGTATTGTATTACTTGTTTGCAAATGAGTGTTGGGGCAGTGTTTACTTACTTTCTTCACACTCTGAGGTTGGCAAATAAGGCCAACTATCTACTCACTTGACCAAGCCCAGGGTCCTGCCTTGATGATCAGAGTATTTGGTGAAGTGTTTATTATTTTGATAAGTAAAATAGACTGTGTTCAGTTTTTTTGGAACATAGGGAATTACAAATCGTCAAGGAAATACAGTCTTAAATAGTAGAATAAAGATAATTCTAGTTCAGTTAACCTTTCAATCTTTTGAGCAAAAATTAGTGTTCCAGGCTTTATGAGCTTCACAGTGCAGATAGTCTTACAGTAGGAGTTAAAACATAGTTTAAGAAAAAACGCCCTGTGAACAAGAGGATGTAATCCTGTAAGTTATCACAGAAGGCAGACAGCCCTGATAGGAAAAAGAATCAATTCTTTCTTTCCTCCTTTTTAGTATTGTAGCTCTTGTAGGTAATAGATTTTAGCATTTGAAGAAAACATACTTATTTTGTTCTAAGCACTGTAAGTAATCCTTACTCCCGTAAGAGGGCAAATGAGTTAGAATGTACAAAACTAGCCCAATATTGTGTGCCAAAATCAGAAGACTGATGTAAGACAAGAGAAATTGCGCTCCATCTGGAAAACCACTATGATGATTGCAGTTCATCAGGCCATTTTTCTACTAAGTGTTCTATTACATTTTCAATCAAGAGGTGGAGGGGTGTTCACAGCAACCACCCTCAGCCTTCTGTTCGCCTGCTCATCTGCCCAGGCTCCCTCTGTAGGTAGTGGAGATGCAGAGGCTGTTTTGTGAGCGTGATTCAAAGCAGAGACATAAATCTCATTAGCTAAACAGAGAGTCATGGGAGACTAGTTGCCTAATTTAGGCTGTACCTATGCTGTGGGGCAAGTAGTCTTCTCTGTGTTCTCTGCAGTTTATTTATCCAGTCTGCAATCAAGGGATCTTTTTTCCCAGTTCCATATGAAGAGGCAGACAGCATACTTCAGTACATGCTGAGACTGGGAAGCACACTTAGCTCCCACAATTTAGAAACACCTTACATAAAGCTGTGTCTTGCCAGTCACTATTAAGGCTTGGGGGCAGAACCTTCAGCACTGAATAGCATGTCAAAAACTACTGAAGTTCTTTTATTCTGAATATTGAGTTAGAACTGAAAAGCAGAAGTTGGTAGCTTCAGGTTTGAGCTGGAAAGCTAAGCTTTAGTTTATAGACTTTTACTGCTGTTTTACCACCTTGATAAATACGTGCAGTCTGAATATCTACAGAATTTGTGTTTCAGTAATACAGTGGATTTTGAGGTTTTGATTAGTGAAATATCATTTAATCCACCTAATCTATGATGTTCCTTTTCAGTTATTTGCATGCCAAGTCAATCATCCACAGAGACCTCAAGAGTAATAGTATCCTTTCCCAGAGACGTGACTGTGAAAGATGACAGCATTCCTGGGGTTTTGGGGGTTGGGTTTTTTGATTTGGTTTGCTCTGCTTTTTTCTGCCCGAAATGACCTTACTGATGTAGAATGCTGCTCATGTGTGAGTATTTGCCTGAGTTGAAATTACACTGAGAAGGGGTAGTATCACTGGTAGCAAAGTAAGGAATACTTACTATGTCTATGGATGCAATTGCCATAACACAGCGAGTTTTGTTGTGGTATCACAAAGATTTTTGTATCATTTGGTTTCTGCATGTAATGAAAGATTACACCAGTTCACTCATGGGATGTTTTTAGCTTTTCTTGTATATGGCATTTCAAGAAAGCCACCTTGCCATGGTTCTTTCAGCACTGGCCCTGTTGTTAACTTCTGTAACCCTTAAAGTAGCATAATTCACCATGTTGACTGTGTAGAACCTGTATTACATGAAAACCTTCTTTAATGATGGTGGATCGTTAAAACTGTTGTTTCTTGTTGCACATTTGTAGCTGTTTATTGTTCCTATAGAACAGGACAAGTACCATTTGTTTGTTTTCCCTTAACATTTCCCCCTTAGATATATTTCTTCATGAAGACCTCACAGTAAAAATAGGTGATTTTGGTCTAGCTACAGTGAAATCACGATGGAGTGGATCCCATCAGTTTGAGCAGTTGTCTGGATCTATTCTATGGATGGTAAGCAAGGGGAAAGTGGTGAGTTTGTTTCAACGAATTTAGTTGCTTTTGGCAAAAGTTTCTAAGACTACTTCTCCAGCACACTGACATACACAAGGTGTCTTAAGATGGAAAAGACAAACAGTAATATGAATTACTAAATGAATGCTTTTAGTTCTTCTTTAAGCATGTGTTTTCTGGTAGTCAGCAAAAAACTTTAGCGTTTTCATCCCTTATTCTGAGGTTTAAACTGATAATTAAATGGTGGCTGAGGAAAAAAAGAGTATGATTAATCCAGGGTTGAGAAGGTGAGAAAAGCCATAGAAAAAGTTCCACAAAGGAGCAGAGGAACTAGCTCAGCCAAAAGGAGGGTGCTCTTTAAGTTTTAAGGATTCAAACATAGTTACTCTCAAGAGATTGTTCAACTTACTTAAGTTTTAAGAAGTGCAGCCTCCTTTGCAACTCTGCTTTTTCCTTTTCTCCACAAAAACCCTGAAGACTCTGTTAGTGAGCATTACTTTCAGTGTTGTTGTAATTCTAGTTTCAAAATAGCTTCTTGGCCTGGACAAGGTAATTTTTTCTCTCTTAGAGAAATAAAGGAATTCCCAAGCTAAAATGAACCAGTGGATTTTGAGATTCCTATTAACATCCATTTTGTATTAGGACGCAGTAACATCTGAAGGCAAGAGTGGGCTTTGCACCGTTATATTCTGGACAAGTCTGTGTTTTGTTCCTGGTATGTGAGGTGCAGCCCAACCTGGTGAAATAAAAACTAATTCTTTCCTTTTCTGGTACAGGCACCAGAAGTTATTAGGATGCAAGATAAAAACCCATATAGCTTTCAGTCGGACGTGTATGCGTTTGGGATTGTTCTTTATGAATTGATGACTGGACAGTTACCATACTCAAACATCAACAACAGGGACCAGGTAAGGGAGGGGATTGACTTCAGTCAGCTGTGGCCTGAAACAGAGAGATAGATTCAGCCTTGTGAAGTACACATTCTGATGGTTTGTGTGTTTGATTTGTGTTTCTCTTACTGATAGTTCATGTACGTTTGATTTGTGTTTCTGATGTTATGAGATGACATTTCTAAGTTTTCTAGATCTGCCTCAGCCACGTAGCATCAATTCACTTCACAGGAGGTATTTTTTTGTCCTTTTTTACTTCAAGTATAGATTTTCAGCTTCTGAGCTGGTTGCCAGGATACTTATTAGGGAGAGAGCAGGTTACTTAATAGTAATCCAGTTTAGAATAGTTATGCAAAGGCAGAATGATCCTCCATATGTTGAGTTATTCCTCTCCCGCCCCTTGCATTGAATTGAGTTCAGCAACAGGACTGACAAAATGGAACAGCAATCATCTTGCTGAAATTTTTGTATTCATTTCAATCGTGAGGAGTGCATGCACCATCTGACTGAATTTCAGGATACCAGCATTTCTCAAATCCTGCCTGATGGAGTTTGCAGAGTGTGTGAATTCTGTAATAAGATTACTTAATTGTGAACAAATATTCCTTAAGTCTAACAGTACCATACGCCTGTAATGTATCTCCACAGGATAGGCACATTTGTGAAGGCATATCTGATTCATTATTTCTCTGTCTAATCTGAAAATAGTATCTGTGCATCAAGATCTTTGGTGTAAACTATTCTGTGTCTGGGTGGTGATATACTTATGTTGCTTCTGTGTCCACATCTCTTGTTTTTTTGCTGTCGGTACTTGAGAATTGCAACCATAGCAACGTTCATCTGTGAATGCCAGTTTATAAGGCTGCTTCCGTATCTGTCAGAACACTTCCAAGTCATCAAATTTCGAGTGATTCCCTTTTTTCTTTTTTTTTTTTAATTATTTTTATTTTTAATTGGGTTTGCCTTTTGGAAGATGGGAAGTGTCCAGATTCCTGGCCAGATGGGTATAATCTTCTAAAAGCAGCATTAGGAGATTGTTTTGGTTTTACCTTTTGAGATTTGAAAATCACCCAGTGATGCGGGTGCTAACAATTAAGTGCTGAAGGAAGTTCTAAATTGCAGGTGAAGCCAGCATATAAAGTGTGATTTAATGCCTTGAGTTTTGGCACACCCAGTCGATTGTCTGAGAAGATGGGAATATTGCTCACTCTCTGTTGGTGCATCTACATCAACTACTATGGCACAACTGAGATTCTTCATGAGCAAACATGGTTCTTGTTTCTCTCCCCTTAAGAGATTTTTCTACACAGACTAGGACTGTTCTTTTAGTGATACTTTCTTTTCTCTAGTTAGAATAAAAGTTTAAACCCTGTATTATTGGTAAAGGAAGTGTTAGAAACGTAGATAATGAATTTTTAATAGTTTCAATTTAAGTAGTGTAATTCTTTAGAGAAGAGTAACTTCTAGATGGTTAAGTCTCATTGCAGCAGAGGTAAGGGATAGGGTAGACAAGTCTTTCTTTACTATGAAATGTTACTCTGGCACATGGGGATTTCTGAAGAAACCATATGGGAGTTTTAAACTCCTTCTTGATGCCAGCACAGATGCGACTGAATCAGAAAGTTGAAAAGGGACCAGGATTGTGTTAGTACAAATAAAATGTACAGCTTGCTTGGGGTGTGGGGGTTTTCTGGTTTTTTTTGCCAGTGTCAAGATACAAAATAGTTAGACTTCATTAAATATAAGGTACGATACACCTGCTGGGTCTGTCTGAGGATTCAGAAAAGGTAGTGATTATCTGCTGCAGCATGAATGGATCTTTGATTAGCTAGTTTGACAGGAGTTTTTAGTGTCAGTGCAACTGCAGTACTCACCACACTGCATTCGACCTTGGCTTGACATGATGATGTTTGATGGTATTTTTTTATATATCCAAGAGAACAGTAACCGTATTTATGCTTTGCTTTCCTGCTTTCTATTAGTTTACTTTATTCTATGCTTAACTTTTATCCTTAGGTGAAATATAAGCCTTCTAAGTTAAAGGAATTACTGTAAGAATACAAAGCCTGTCTGTCTCCTCTTCTACAGAGGAGAGGCAGTTTCTCTTTTGCTTTTGTGGTTTTTGGGGGAGGGGGGGCTGGGGAAGGTGGCCAGATGTTAAGAATAAGCTTTTGTGGTGGAAAAGTTATTCTCAAAAGGTAAGGGTTCTTAATATTTGAAGTCCGTGTGTTTCTTAAAATACCTTTCTGTGTGAACTTGCTGTTGACTTATAAAACAGAATATTTATTTTTAGGCATTCTGTTCCTGCCACAGAGTTGCTTATTCTTGTTTTTGTGACAGTTTTTGACACCGAAGAACCGCTCCTTAGATGGTTATTGCTATAAATGGTAATCATTTACTAGTGTTCAAGTTTCACAGAAATCTCTCCTTGGAGGAGGAAGAGGAAAAATCTAATTTTTTTTCTCTGTACTGAATAGGTTTAGCAAGCATTACTCCAAGAAACTTGGCAATTTCAGCACCAGATAATGTTTCCTGGGAGCAGAAAACTCGCTGCTGGGACCAAAATGGTCTAGCAAAATGTTAATCTTTTGTTACTGTTTGTTTTATGGACTCATCTTCTTCCCCTTGCATCTTTTCTCCCCTTAAATAAAGATAATTTTTATGGTGGGACGAGGATACCTATCTCCAGACCTCAGCAAAGTACGGAGCAACTGTCCAAAAGCTATGAAGAGACTAATGGCAGAATGCTTAAAAAAGAAAAGAGATGAGAGACCCCTTTTTCCACAGGTGAGAAATGTTCCTTTTTAGTTCTCAGTAGACTTTGCAACTCAAATATTAAAACTAAAGATCAGTTATGAACTCACTGGTCAATTCAAAACTTCATAAAAATACTGGTTCAGTACCTGCTTAGTGCTGTTTAATTAGAAATGTTTCTTTTCAATTCAGAAAGCAGGTATTAAAATGACCTGTATAGTTGCAAAAGCATTTTTGTGTTGGAGAAAGTTTCAATAGGGAGTCAGTCAAATTAATAATCACAATTAGACACACAAATTGGAACTTGTTCTTGGAAATCTTTATACCACCCTCCTTGCTCTCCCCTAAGCTTTATGAAGGCAAGCTGGTAGTTTTGTCACAAAACTGGATTTATTGTGCCCGCTGAGGAAGGTTTGGGTTCTACAAGCTTGAGGGGGACCTGGTTTTTTTATTCCTAATGTAACCAAAGCTTTTTCAAAAAAATAAGGAGCTCCACCTGCTGGCTTTATGCTGAATGGTATTAAGCAAACTTAAGCTGGCAAAGCGGTGTTTATTTGTAGTGATGGAATGAACAGGGATGCAAAATGAAAGTGCATGAACAGGGAGGCAAAATGAAAGGCAACTACCTTCATTGTGCTTACAGGGGGAAATCAGTATGCCCTTTAAATGGGTGAAATGAGACAGTTTTTTCCCAAAATGTCCTTTTCAGCTTTTTCAGGTTACAAACATCAGAGCACAGTGCAGTAATCTATTTTTTAATGTTTCTGTTCAAATTTGTTTATAAATATTTTTCTGTAGTTAGTTGATGTTCTGCCTTTGGTTTTAAGAGAGTGTTACAGCTTTGGACAATGGATTTGATCGCTTATTTTCTACATGTTTTAGATTCTTGCCTCCATTGAGCTTCTGGCCCGGTCATTGCCAAAAATTCACCGCAGTGCATCTGAGCCCTCGTTAAACCGGGCTGGCTTCCAGACAGAGGATTTTAGTCTATATGCTTGTGCTTCTCCAAAAACGCCCATCCAAGCAGGGGGATACGGTGGGTTTCCAGTGCACTGAAAAGAAATGTGAAAGCATGTGCCTGTGTGTCTGTGTGCTGGTGTGATCCTGTGAGTGCAACACGTGTATGTTCTCAGTTCCTACCAGCTATGTTTTTAAGGTTTACTGAGGGAACGAAGACTCACTTCCTAACACTGGGCCTTGAATGTCCTGAGCACAAAGTCCATGTTGGTAACAAGTGCCCTGGGAGCAGCTGGCACAAGAAGAATTATAAGATAAGAGAAATGGGAAAAGTCACTTCAGAACAAGCAAAAATCCTCATAAGGTCATTGGGTGTCATTTTTGCTTGCCTGTGTCGGTTTTGCCCAGTTTGTTGATTGGAATTAGAGTGTATTTGATTTTAATCTACTCAAGCTATGATGGTTTGGGGTTTTCTACTTCAGTTGAGGTCATTATATTTGAGTAATAGGCTTTAGATTTCTCCATTAGTAATGCTGTGTGAGAAGCAACTGGAAAAATAAACTTACCTTCAAGCCTGAGCACAGTTGAAACTTCAGCAGAGGTGAGCAGATGCAACACACAATCCAGAGAAAGACCTTAGTGACATGTGGCTCTTATTTTGAAAGCTGAAGTTTAGAATAGTGCAGTTTAGAGAATGTCTCTTCCTGCAGAGGAGTGGTGGCATGGGATTTTTTAACGTTTTATTTTGCCTATATACCCTGACCTGTTGGGCTTTAAACCATCTCAAAATGTTCTATTACAATGCAATATAGAATAAATTCTGAACCTGCTTTTGCTGAACTGCAAGATTATTACTGGTGATGGTGCCTCTATCCTTCAGTTAGCACGGATTTCAAAATCTAAAAAGAACACAAACATTTTAAATCTCGAGCATAACCAAATACTTTAAGAGAAAAAGGCTGCTAACACCCGTAATGGGAATAGAGGATTTGAATAACAGTTGTTTTCATGGCAATCAGTATTATACCATGAATTCTGTTAAGATGAAAGGATTTAATTACTTTAATATTGTTAAGAATACCGCTGAACATGCTTCTGTTTAGTGATGAATTGGGTTTTTTTCACTTCCATGTGAAAGCTGCTAGTTTGACTAGAAGTGAATCAGACCAAGTAGCTTACTGAGAAAGCTAGACACCTTACCAAGGTCTTGTGAGCTCACTTTAAAGATTGTTTTCTTCCCTGGAGCATTCCTCTGGAACAGGTGAATCAGAGTAGTGGTTCAGGTTGTATCAGTCTTGGATGTCAAATATGAAAACAATAATGTTATTGACTGTGTTCTTGCATATTTTGAAGTCAGTTGCATGGGTTTGTTTGTTTTAAACTGCTAAGCTATTAATTTTCACACATTCTTCTGCATCAGAAACAAGCTCTTGCTGCTCTTGTTAGAACTTCAAAGGCCAGGAGTGCTCTTAATGGCTTCTAATTTACATGCATAGGATTTTGCATGTTGCTAGCAATAGTCTTTTGATAGAGATCAGGAATTCAAACAAGGGTTTGGTTTTCTGCTGTCTGGCAACTGAGCCTTTTAAAACAGGAAGCAGAGTTAGAGAGCTTGAAGAGATGTAGGTAATTTCTACATTTTCTGGCCAGATTCTAATGATCTTCTTGGCTTCTGCTGTTGGAACGGTTTGGGAAACTAACTTTTGTCTTCTCATCTTGTTAGTCAAGAAAACTCAGCTGTTGAAATCTATCTGTGTGGAAATAGTGATGGAAGATGAAAATTGTTATTGTTATAGAAAATCTGTTTCCCATCTTTCTGGTAGCTTCACTTCATTTTGGCAGACTTGTCATAACATGAAAACAGGATTTAACTGGGGGCTTTCCCCCTCTTATTCACTAATTAATTTATTTTTAATTCTAGACAGTGAGGAAAAATGCTTCCCAAGGCTTTGAAGTATGATATTCAGTACAGGCTACAGTGCCCATCCCAGTAAGAGCAAGAGGGTGCCACTGGGTCTCCTGCAGAATCTAGAAAAGTGGCATTCCACCCAGGAAAGGCTTAACCACAGGGGGAGTTACAGAGAGTGCAGAACCATCATCACTGCCCTGCCCAAGCTTACTCTTTTTCAGGTCTGCCAGATCAGTTCAAAGCAGTTACTCCTTGGAGAGGTGTTATCCTCCTTGTTAAGAGTCCTCTTTTGTACTGTCAGAACTACAGTTTTGGGGAAAAAATGCTGCTATCCTGAGACAGACTTGAACATGTTTCCTGATGTATGGTCAGTGTATTAGATTTGTTCCTGTATCACCTGTTCTTACATATTGACCATGGTTTGGAATCCATGACCATAATGTGATCTTAGCTTCTCACTGAATACTTTATGAAGCCTAAAAAGAGGCTGGGTTTTGTGGACCATTAACTTTATCTGACATAAAGGCATTTAGGAGTTTAAATTCTGTAGTTTGTAATTGCTGCTTCAGTGATATTTGGGAACATATGTAGGGTGAAGATGCCTAAATACACCTGTGGATTTGGGTCAGTGTTCTCAAAGGTGTAACTCAGCTGTATTGTTTAGAAACAGGTACTGATCAGTCCTGGAAACAGGTCTGTAGGATCCCTGGCTTTCCTGGAGGGGTAGTTTATACTATGTGAGGCTCCTTTTTTCTCTACTTCCTTGCATCTCAGTGTAGGAACAAAATCTGTCTTGGTACCTTCTAGAAGGACCAGGTCCTCATAAGCGCTTCTGTGTAGTCTTCTGAGGATACTAATTGTCCACATCAGAATGTGTTCCAAATTGTTATTTAGCCAGTGAATGGCATCCGTACTAGAAGGTCAGCATGAGATCCAACAGAAAATTGCCTCTTTGCCACACTTCCTGTGAATGTAACCCAAGCAAGATGCTGGAATTTGGTGTTTCTCTTTAATCAGTTACTCTCTGCTTGGGTAGACAAGGCTGGCATGGGCCTGGAAGGGAAACTTTCTTATCCTTACGATACTTCTGAGAAACTACCCCATCTACCCCAGGATAAGGAGATGAGGAGTACAGTTAAGATGTCATGCATATACCTAGTAATCTCGTGAGTCCAGGTAACTTCTAAATCTGTGATAGTAGAGATTGGTAACTGCATCTTAAATCTTTCAGGGAATTATGGGAAGCAGGTTCACTCAGGTCATGCCCTTACAATTTACTGTTTGGGCACAAAATGAAAGAACTTTTCTCATCTTTTTAGTACAGGTTTTTGAAAGTGTGCATTTAAAACAGTTTCCCATTACTTTTCATGTGACAAGTGTGAAAAGACTGTAGCAATGTGTGAAAAGACTGTAGCAACTAACTTGAAAGGGCTCTGTAAGTGTAGATTTTCAAATGCTATTCATCCTTTGGAAAGGAATTGCTTTGTTACCAGTCAAAGCAAGTATCTGAAGGTCTACTTGGTAAAAAGCACATCAGCTGCCTGGATCACAATGACTGAAAATGTCTGGGTTTTTCTTGCATCCCAAATCGTGAAGTATGTGGTTCTATAGCTTTGTGGCAAGCTGATCTCACTGTAAGCAGCCCAGCTCCTTACCCTTGCACTGGCAGATGTTCTTAAATTCCACTAGTCCATTCCACGCAGCTAAGTGTTTTTCCCCTACCATCAACAGAGCAGCTCTCCAAAAACTCTTCTTTCCCACCAACCTAACCTAGTATTTGCTAGGTCATCTCCTTGAGCCATCTTGCCTCAGGATCAGATAGTGCAGTGTGGCACAACGGGCAGGAGGGAGAGTGGGACTGCAGTAGTCCCAGTTTAGATTAACATTGGCCATCACAGAACCATGCCCAAAGATTTAGCAGGGCAGAATCAGAATGATCCTGCAGGATGGGGCATATTGGGTCATGTTCCTAAAGCGGTTTTCATTTCATCTATTCATTGCCCTTGGGCATGACCTTCCTGTCCTGCTAGATTCACAGTTCAGGTTGCTTCATTTATGTGTGTGCATCTAAGCCTCAGGAAGAGGTTCCCTGTGTTCTCTCTCCATCTCCTACAGGTGAAGTTTCTTTCTTTCAGAAGATCAAAGAACCATCTTGCAAATATTTTACATATTCAGAATAGAAAAGGTGACACAAAGCATTTTAGCTTCTCCTTAGAAAGTCCTGTCAACACCCAGCAGGATGGAAGATTCCTGTTGTGTGGATGGATGTCGCCATCTTAACCAACATTCTTCATCTAGGGAAAGCCATTACTGCTAATGCATCTCATAGGTGTTAAATCAACATAATCCCATCATTAGATATTTTGGTCTCCTACTGATTTGGGATCAGAGTAGTACCTGAATTTTGAAAGGGGAGATTTAGCATTAGCTTGTCAAAGAAAATGTCTTTGCTAAGGTTTTATTTAAATGGCAGAGAAGTCTAAAAATCACCTTTTTATAGCTACCATTTTATCTGAAATGCTTCTTGACTTCTGATCCTGTTTTTCCATTGCTCTTTCCCAATTAATGGTTCATCTTTTATCTTCTGAAATCCCTGTATGACTATTAAAAGCTGAATTATTACCAGAAATGGGCAGAAGGACAAGATGAGTAATGAGGGAGCAATCTCTTGTTTATAAATTGGTCTTTAATCAGCAGTTTAGGAAGGCAGACTGAAAAATAAATTAAGTAGAGCATGTTTTGAAAGTGTAGCTAAGCATGAATGTCATTATTAAAAATTAGCCTCACAGGCAAATACTTGATGACTTTTTCGTCCTTGTCTTAAAAGATTAAACAAAAAAAAAATACCAAAAATGAGTTGTTTCTAGAAGATGTTGTGAAGAGAGTTGGGAAATGGGTGAAATGTGCCAGAGAGAAGCAAGAAGAATTAGCAAATACTTCGAGTACTTTAGAGCAAGGGTTTTATCTGTTGGTAGAACTAGTAAAATAAGTGATTAGACCCGTTGTGAAGTTTTTACTCTTTTGTTGTTAAAACTAAAACCTACCACCACAATCTATCAAGATACATAGAGCTTGAGGTCTGCCACAGCCGCCTGTGCCAGCCACCCTTACTTTTGACTTAGTGTACTCCCTTCTCATTTCCTACAAACACACAGAGCCCTCTCCCTGCTTTCTTCAAGCTCCCTTAGATCAGCTGAATTAGCTTTCCCTGCCAGGCCCTGTGTAGATGCAGTTTCTTCCCCCTTCCTCATGCAGTCTATTGGTAACTCTTGGTTCTCTTCTTTATAGAGCAAGACATTCCGTAGAATTAATGCTATTAGCCTAAAATCCTGTTTGCAGGGATGTTTATGGTTTGTTTCCAATATTCAGAATAAGAATCTTAAGAAAAAACAAAGCAGCAAAACCAACAAAACACTTGCTCTTGAAAGGATGGAAGGACAGCATGGTAGGGAACAATTGTTAGGATGTAATGGCATTCAACATGCTTCTGTCAAACAGAACAAAGGGTCTCTGATGTCTGCTTCTTACTCCTGCATTATTAGCAGAGCTCCAAGGAGTGCTGTCAAGAAAGGGACATAAACTAACCCAAACCTCATGTGAAATCCAGCACAGGGAAGTTAGATGTATGTTTCTTTTTCTCTTGCTCCTGAGTCCTTTTAGTTAAGCATAGTGGAACACCCCTCCCTAAAAATCTGATCAAATACAATTTCTTTGTGGGTGGCAGGGGAGTTTTTTGGCTGAAGTATAAGATGAAGAGGATGAGTGTCTTAGATTCAGCTTCTGTTCAATGTTCTGGCAAACTTCTGAAGATTTTTGGGAAGCAGTTTTATTCTGTGCCATAATTTCTTCATCTCTGAAATGGGACGACCAGTCTATCTCGTGGCATGCTGACACTAAATAAACTGTAGAATTTCAGGAGATTGTTGCATGTGAAAGCACTGCATAGAATTAGTTTATTTGGAAATTCTGAAGGAAGCATGGGGTTGCTTTATTTGTTGTGCTCCCTATTAGCAAGGCCTAATTCCTGGTCTGAGAGTGAGCAGACAATCTCACCATTCTTATTTTTCTCACCGTAGGTTGCTACGTTGGTCTCTAAACCAGATCCCAGCATTCTTTAATACGGGTCTAATATTCAGGCACTTTACTGTACAGTGTTTAAAGGTTAACAGGTGTGTCAGATAGCTCTTCATTATTAAACCAGTTTTACACCAGACTAGAAATCAGTTTGCAGCCTGACGCATTTATTGCAGTTGATGCTTTTCAGGAGGGTATATGTGCAATAAGGAGTTTAAAGTGAAATTAAACTGGCACATTTGCAAATGCATAATGAGTTAGACTTCGCTTGAACTTTCAGACCTCTCTATCTTGGGAAGAATGGGTACAGCTTGCTTTCAAGAAATCCTTTTTTCAGTAAAATATGCTGGGTCTGTATTCAATGTTCTCTCACTATGTATTCTCTTATGCTTTAATTTTAACAGTTTGCATTTTTTAACATCTTTTATATTCAACCTAATGTTCAACTAGTCTAGAGAAAATCTCTGACCACCTGGTAACTGATACCGCCTTTTTAAACCAAGCTCTTGTCCTCCCTCTACAGGAGAATTTGCAGCGTTCAAGTAGCCACAGCACCATGGCAGCACCCACTCTGTTATTTAAGTCTTGTGTTCCTACAGTTTCTTAACATCCAAACTCTATTCTGCTCCACAAAACCTAAAGTAATTTAGAAAAGATATTCATAAGCTTAAAAGTGGAGCAGAATGGAACTGCCAGTCCAACACAATGGGAAAAAGTACCTTTTTGGGAACCAGAATCCTCTGCTGCCAGTGTTTCTCCTTCAACACAAACCACCACGTGCATTCGGAGACCCGCAGTGGCTGCCTGTGCCGTTGGCATCATTCCCAGGAGAGAGGAGAGGGCGCTCATGGTTTGACTGTGGTGCTCGGGCATGAGGGGATGGAACTGCTGCTGCAACTTAGGAGACTTGCTTTGGACGGTCTGCCGGTCGGCTTTCTCCCTCTAACAACGTACCATCAGAGGCTGAAAATCTGATGAGTGCTAATTTACAAGGATCATCCTCTGTTCTGATCTTTTTTTTTCCCGGTGTACTCACTGATTTACGGACAATGCAGTATCCCCTTTTCACTGTATTACAACATCAAACACCTAAATCTGTCTATGTTATTGGGGTTTATTCCGATAAAGTTAAAAGTGGGGGGTGATGGGAGCTGGAGAAGATGTGACTCTAAGGCAATGAGGTTAATCTGAAGGAAAAGGGGATGCTGCTGCACCTTTTTTCAGATTTACTTTCTCACTTCTTCAAACACATACAACAACCACCAACCTTAACCTGTTTCCTTTTCCAGTGTTTTCTTGGTGTGTGCATATACAACATCTTGTAGAAGGATTAGGTAGATCCTTCTTTTGTTGGTCCAGCAACAAACTGAAGTTCAAAAAGAAAAACAAAAAAATGTAGCGAGATTGTCCTCTTCTATTCTTTTTCTTTTGTATCATGAGATACAATGTACTTATCAAAGATGCTACCACAGCATCTGAAGTCTGTAGAATTCCCGATACAGACTGTGAATGGTGTATGTACCTACTTTAAAAGTTTTATTTTAAACGAGGGTGCAGGTTAATGCCAGGTACCTTATCAAGATGTAATGTTTTCATAAACGGGGAAAAAAGTTCTCAGGTTGAATTGAATACAAATCCAAACCCCCCTAGAATTAGACATTCCGAAAAATTATGTTTTGGTACTTTCAAGAGCTTTTTTTAAAGGATTTTTATCCTGTTAACTAAACGTCCTCTGATAAGTGTGTGTGTAAATATGGAGCATCTTGTCTTAATGGCAAGTTGTTAGATCAAAACAAAACGGTACTTGCTGGATCTACGCTGACTACTTCTCCTCTCACGGCTTTCTGCCTGTCGTCTCTTCCCTTCCGTTTGTCTTTCCCTTTTGTACACTTTGCAAACTGGGATGAAGGTGGCGGTATCTCCACTAGAGTGCTTTGTTTTCCTGCCTTCCAATCCTGGTTTTCAAATGGTTGAAAGCTTTTTCACAAGTAACCCAGTCAGGGAAGAAGAAAAACCCCAACTCATAAAGTTCTGCACATCATTTACCTCTCGTTAGAGTATCTTGTGATGTGATCTGTTTGCAGAGTTCTCTGGTATGTGGTATTACATGTAAATTATCTGTACAGAGGCAAGTCAGACCACATGAGAAAGAAATCCAAGCTCGAACAGAAGTTTTCAGAGTTTGATTCGCATCTGCCCTGTACCACTGTAGGTGAGGCAGGAGAACCGAACCCACCGCTCGCAGGGAGGTTCTTGCTGGAGGAGGCGAGGGGTGTTAATCAAAATCATGACAAATAAATGAAGGAGTTAAATGTGTGTGAATGTGGTGTCCGTGCTAAACATGGGTGTATTGGGTGAGGACACTGTCCTTCCCTTCCTGGGAGAGCTGGACTGTTTCTGTCTGTAGAGGGTTGCTCCCGGGTGAAGGGAGAAACGCACATCGGTAGTGGGACGTAGTTTTAAACCCCTGGAGTTCTGCAGTGTTGCTGGTAGTCTGTTACATTTGCCAGTAAATATTTACTGGAGTTATAGGGACCGGACTAATCTGAAGTGGGAATTATAACTGAAATACTGTGTATTCATATTAATTCCACAAACATTAGCAAGACAGCAATAGTGAATGACTTGATAGTCACTACAAGAATGAAGTGATTCATGTTGGTACATGAATAGAATTGATTTTGTGTACAGGATGCATTTTAAAAAAACACACAAAAAAACCAAACAAAAAAAAAAGCACAATTTTTTTCTTGTCTGCTGTGGGTCTTCAGATGCTGTAAGGTTTTTTCCTTATCGAAATTGGCAGGAATTTAAACAGTAGCAATAGCCACTTTCCAGTGTGGAGAAGCTGATGAGCAAGCTGTGGCATGCAGACGGTGAAACCAGAGTGCTCCCTGGTGATCATCCGAGGCCAGTACCTAAGAGGTAGAAGGAGCCTGGGGCCACTGTGGTCAGCAGGCTGGTGGGAGCATTCACAGACAGACTCCCAGAGGATGAAGTAGTCGCTGCTCATTCTCCTTCTGTAGCCCCGTTTGTAGGTGTCGGGCATACTGGAAATGAATGTTCTCTTGAAAGAAATTTATTGGAGCAAGGTGGTTCAACAGTCATTTGTTTCGCAGAGCTTGTTAAAAGCCGTGGTTTCCTTCCACAAGGTCATGCTGGCAGATGATTGTCTGCTAAAATAAAACTGTTAGGAATTTCATTCACCTTTGCTTAAAATGTACTTATTTTTGGTGAAGATTCATTACCCATTAGTCTACAATATGCTTCTTGAGCCCATAGGAAAAGCACAAGGAAAATTGCTATCCTTGTTCATGCAAAGCACTTTATAAGTAACACAGGATCTCTGTTTTGTTTTAGGGTTTTGGAGTTTGTTTGGTTTCAGTTTTGTTGGGGTTTTTTTATGGGGTTTGTAGTTTTGTTTTTCTGGGGGTTTGGGAGGGAGAGTGGGAGTTTGGGTTTTCTTCTTTTTCCCTGTGGAATGTGCAAGTTGTTTGGCTGCTGTTTAGAGAAGTCCTGTCAGGATGCATTTCTACTGGTTTTCACATTTGTTTGTTTCCCTCCAGATAGCTGTTAGTAGTGTGTGTTTGTCTGTAAAAGGTCCCATGTAATACTCATACAAAACTTGGGAAGAAATTTGGTTTGTAAATAATTGGGATTTTAATTTTTTTTAAACCTTTTCCTTTGGGAGATTTTCTGGATGTCCTGCATGCCATCAGAACCAGTCTTAAAGGTGCCCTGTAGACATTCAGTGAATGGGGAGGTAAGAGTAGACAAGAACTGAGTGCCCTGTATAGCAGTAGGATGAAGGAGATAAACTGAAATGACCAATATGTTCATGTCCATTACACCAAATTTCTCAGCTTCTCGGTGATGTCCTAACCACAAGTGCATGCCATAGTATGGAAATGTTAGTTCCCTGGCAGTGTTCAAGGGCAGGTTGGACTGGGCTTGGAGCAATATGATCTAGTAGAAGGTGTCCCTGCCCATGGCAGGGGGTTGGAACCAGATGAGCTTTAAGGTCCCTTCCAACCCAAACCATTCTGTGATTCTATGATGATTCTATGATTTTGTGTGTGTGTTGGGACAGACATCCAGTCATACTGCTTTTAGCTTTACTGTATCTAGTACCTAATCATTTGCAAAACTACTGGTATCCAGTCCCGCCTATTCATGCCTTTATTAACCACACATATACCTTCCCCCCATGTACCTTTCTATCTGCTTTTCCTTTTCCATACAGTTAGAAGAGGCCTGTTATCTGTTACATCTTCCCTGTCAGTACAGGATCGTTTCCTGTGGCATATTTGCTGGAACTGGAACGTAATAGTAGAGCTTAAACCAGATGGTATGAGCATAGAGGTCTGGTTATTTTGAAAGTCATTTCTGTGTGAATTAAGTCCTACATAGCCCCAGATGTGATTAGCCTTGTCATTTCTTTTTTTTACTAAACTCGTGCAGGCCATTAAATGAAGCCACTTCTGCTTTTCACGCTTACCTAAAATCATCTTTCCTTGCATGTGAATGCTCTGCCAATTGCTGCTGATGGAGAATGTTTGAGGCCAAATACTGCCAGCTTATCGTGGTCTGTCAACATTACTTGCATTAGTACATGCTCCTTAGAGGTAGAATTTGGCCTTCATGCCATAAAATGAGTGAAATGCTGACTGTTGATAAATGCCACATCTTCCCACAAACGCCCAAATCAGGGGAAGAAAATACACTGAAGATCACACGTAAATAGGTTTGTTTCTGTGTTTACCTGTTGATGTCAATGCATCCAGCATTTAACAGAATATTTGGGGAAGCCAGATCGCCAGACACCTCACAAACAAGTACAAACTGAAGTTTTGATAGCTGGAGGGGCTAAATTTAGGCAAGAAGCATGTAGACATTTCACACTTTTGCAGCCTATAGATTTCATTGCCTTCTTGAGTGTGAGCACAGCATGTCTAGCACAAACTGTTCATAGTACTGTAGATGACGTGTCTTCTGTCTGTTGAAAAAAGTATCACCAGTAGCACAATGTGACAGGCAAAGCTTCTAGGCACAGTCAAGTTCAGTCAAAAAGCAGTTGCATGAGAGGACTGTTAGGGCATCACTTTGAAGGTGCTGGGTGTTCCAGTTTTCTGTTATGCATCATACATAGAAGTTTTGAAATCAACGTTCCATTGACTGCAGTCCTGTTAATATACGTTTGCACTTCACATTTGTTTTGGCATGCATTTTAAACATCTATCTTTATTGCTTCTTACCTGGTAAATGGCATTATGAAAAGAGCAAAGTTATTAAAACTTTTTCCCTGCATTTAAGTTTCAACGATGCTAATGCAGAAACTACTAAGTCAGCACCTGACAGCAGTAAATAACTATGAAACTGTGGAAGGACAAAACTTTAAGAACTGCAGAATATAGAGTGCACCAGGAGCGAATTCACATGAAAACTAGCCTCTCTTCTTTAGAACAGAGAGCTACCAAGACTGTCCCTCTGTTAAATGGTTTATGTAGGGATCCCCCCCCCAACAGTCTTTGCAGTTTGCCAAAATGATCATGTGCCTTTGCAACCTTAAAAAGTACAACAGAATGTAAACCAGGTGCTTTGTAACTAGAGCAGTGGCTTTGGTTTACTTCTGCTGCAGTAATTTTGTATATAGCTATTACTATATAGGTAGGTAGTTTGGAGTTTGTAAACTTCTGTAAAGTAGCAAGGAGGGCAGAGAGCATTCCCCAAAACACCTATTACCATTTCAAAGCTAGAACTGAAGGATTCCTAATTCAGTTACAGTAAACCTGCTGCTTGGTACCTGCTCTATCCAAAGTTAAATGGGATTCATTTAATTTAGAATAAGCCCTCCTCCCCTTCCAAAGACACAAAGATCTTGTTGAAGGAAGGTAATGGAAAGCTCTGGAGAATCCCAAAGTTACACCCGAAGTTACGCTGTTACAGCATCATGGAAGGTGATTGTAGATGAAAAATGAGAGCTGGATGAGGAGAAATTGATGGCTAGTACTTGTGTAATCCAAGTGTGCATATATCAGACCATACACTTAATTCCCTGGCCCAGAAAGTGCAATTAATTGCTTTCTGGAACATCAGCAGGTTT